CAGTTAAACAAAACGAAACAAAACACCAGTTTCTCCACTGCTGACAGGGGATGTGACATGACTTGGCTTCTGCCTTGGTTTCCTGAATGATGGTTCGTGACTGGGAATTAACTGTAAGCTAAATAAACCATTTCTTGCCCTAAGCAGCCTTTGGTCAGAGTATTATTTATCACAGTAGCAGAAGAATCTAGACCAGGAAGGAAGGGGGCACATTCGGTCAACAGGCACTAAAATCGTTGTGTTCCCTTGTCAACAAACTGATGGCGAAACGTGAGTCTGTGTTTGGTGCAGAGCAGGTGACAGGCTTGTCTTGTCCAGTGTGTTGCCTGCACTCCTATTTTTTTGTTTGCTTGGTTTTGTTTTTTTCTTTTCTTTGATTTTGTTTTTAAGACAGGCGTTTTCTGTGTATCCCAGACTGTCTTGGAACTTGCTCTGTAGCCCAGGCTGGCCACAAACTGAGAGATCCACCTGCCTCTGCCTCCCGAGTGCTGGGATGGTGGCGTGTGCCACCACCATTGGGCTTGCACTCACTGCCCTTTCTCAAAATTGCCAGCTTTCCCGGAAGCAGAGGTTCTCAACCTGTGACTGGTGATTCCCTTTGGGGGTCGCATATCAGATCTGTGTATTAACATTCATAACAGTAGAAAAATTACAGCTGTGAAGTAGCATTAAAATAATGTTATGGTGGGGAGCACCAGAACATGAGGACCTGTGTTAAAGGCTCACAGTGTCAGGAGGGTTGAGAACTACCCACCTTAAAGCGTTATGAATGAATGCTATTAACCTCCCTGCAGGTTTCTGCCTAAGCGTCAGACAGTATCCGTTGCTCTCTTTGTAGACTGCCTCAGCAAGCAACTTTCCACATACCCGCCCTCCCACAGCCCCTTCTGCGAGTGGGAGGGGGTCGAATGGGAGGGGGGGAGAACATCCAAGGGCTTGCACAGAAACCTCATTTTTTTCTTGGGTGTTTGTACTCATTTCTAATTGGGGATTTCCACAATCATCCAAGCATTTCTTGGTGTTTTTGTTTGTTGGGGACGTTGTCTGGTTTTCTAGTCGTGGCATAGACTTAAAGCAGATGGTCACTCGGGCGGAAAGCCAAATCCAAAAGCAGATCTGTTCCGGTCGAAGACTAGTTTCTTGCTTTAGACATCTGAACAGTGAGAAAGAGCCTCATTCTTCAAAATAGCTTTAAAAAATCTGAGTAACAATTCAGATCGTTTTTTAAAATCAGATATATTTAGCCAGGCATGGTGCCACATGCCTTTAATCTCAGCACTTGGGAGGGAGAGGCAATTGCTTCACTGTGATTTTTTTTTTCTATATGGGGAATTCCAGGCCAGCCAGAATGACATAGTGAGATTATCTTGTCACAAAAATGAATAAACACTTTAAAAATAAAAATAGTTTTAATTAAGTTATTCATATAACACCTATTTGCTGTTTGTGATTTTAAAAGTGAGAGCCTGAACCATCTCTCCTGTTCTTGTTTGTGGCTTTGGAGAGAGGGTCTTAGGTAGCCCAGGCTAACCTCAAGCTCAATAAATAGCTAAGGATGACCTGGAACTTTTGTTTTGTTTTTGTCTAGACAGGGTTCCTCTGTGTAGACCAGGCTGTCCTGGAAGTCACAGAGATATGTCTGCTGGGATTAAATGTGTGTATCAGCACTGCATGGCTTGACCTTGAATGCTGGGATTATTAACACTGAACTGAATCCAGAGGGGCATCATTCATACTAGGTGGGCACTCTCCCCACTGAACTACCCCACCTTCAGCTTCTGATTCATTTACTCATTCATTCATTCATTCATTCATTCAGCCAGTCACTCAGGGTCACTTGGGCCAGTGAATGTGAGCCATTGTGCCCGGCACAATATTATTGTCATCATCATTCTGGGCTCTTACGTAACTACTTAGGGTCTCACACATTGTCTTAGTCACTGCATTATTGATGGAAAGGGACACCACGACCAAGGCAACTCTTATAAAAGAAAGCATTTCCTTGGGGGCTTGCTTAGAGTTTCAGAGACTAGTCCATTATCATGGCAGGGAGCATGGCGGCACGCAGGCAGGCATGGTGCTGGAGTTGGAGCTGAGAGTTCTCCATCCTGATCTGCAAGCAGAAAGTGAGCCTGGGCCTGGCCTGGGCTTTTGAAGCCTCAAAGCCCCAGGGACATACTTCCTCCAATAAGGGCACACCATGCAGTCCTTCTCATTCTTCCTAACGGTGCAGCTCCCTGCGGACTAAACATTCACAGGCCTGAGCCTATGGGAGCCATCGTTATTCAAACCACCACACACATCCTGGACACCTATTATACTCTTTTATGAGGAAGATGTGAGGGAAAGATAGAGGGAAGGAAAGAAAATGAGACCCACAGAGAGAAAAATTAGATTTTGGTTCCAAGATCGGGTTTGAGGGTTTGTTTTGTTTTGCTATCTGAAGATCTGTTGTTCTTTAATGTGTACGGGCATTTTGCTTACCTAAGTCTGTGCACCACAGATGTGCCTTAATCATGGAAACCAGAGAAAGTGTCAGATCCCCTGGACCTGGAGTTACAGGCAGTTGTGAGTGGAGCAGCTAGTGCTCTTGACCTTGGGCCAACTTCCCACTCCTCTGCCTGCTGAAAAAAAAAAAAAGAATATATATATATATATATATATATATATATATATATATATATATTGTGTGTGTGTGTGTGTGTGTGTGTGTGTGTGTGTGCACTCGGGCACGTGGACGTGTCAGTTTGTATGAAGGTCAGAGGGCAAATTTCAATAGTCAGTTCTTCTTCCTCCATCACATAGAGCCTGGTGAACTCAGGTCATCAAGCTTGGCAGTAAGTACCTTTACCCACTGAATCATCTTGCAAGCCCAGGTGTCTATTTCGTATTGTTTTTTTCTTGCTGATTTTTGTGTGTATGTATACGCTTTGATTTTGTTTTGAGACAGGTCTCACCATGCTGTCTAATCTGGCCTCAAACTTCTTGATGCTCCTCACCCCACCCTGGCCCCGGACAGGGTTTCTCTGTGTAGCCTTGGCTGTCCTGGACTTGCTTTGTAGACTAGGCTGGCCTCAAACTCAGAGATCCTCCTACCTCTGCCTCCCTGGCTGCTAGGATTACAGGCATGCCCCACTGTGCCAGGTTACAATACAAGTTATTTAAAAATAAAACAACCCAACAGTGAGGGAGGAGCAGAATCTATATCAGCTCTGAGAACCAGGTGGTTTTAAACAGGTTACTTTACCTCTCTGGGCCTCAGTTTTCTTGTCATTAAATAGGGAATAACAGCTTTTACATAGACGTGTTGTTGGGGCTGAGGCCAGTAATTGAGTCAGGAGGATTGCTTGAGTCAAGGAGTTCTGGACTAACGTGTTTGTTTGTTTGTTTGTTTTTAGATAGGGTTAAGGTTTCTCTGTGTAATAGTCCTGGCTGTCCTGGAACTTTCTTTGTAGAACAGACTGGCCTCGAACTCACAGAGATCCACCTGCCTCTGTCTCCTGAGTGCTGGGCTCACAGAGGTGCCCCATCACACCCGGCTAAAGTGTCTTATTCTATTCAAGCATCTTCGCTAAGGTTGGAATCAGCTGCACAATGGAGGTAAACTGGTCCAGGTGGGAAATGAAGGGAGTTGGAAAGATCATAGAAAAGAAAAATAAATAAATAAGCCCATAGTTGGTTGGAAGCCTGCCTGTGAGATGAGCACTGGAGAGGCTGAGGCAGGAGGATGGGGTGTCCCAGGCTGGCCTAAGCTATACCACAAGGCCTTATCCAACTAGAAAGGGTAGCGTCCTTGGCATGGCACATGGGAGTTGCTCAAATAGCTGTTGGGTTCATTCACTCCCTGCCCAGCCCCTTCACCTCCAGATGCCAGGTTCAGTCTGCCATCCTGCATCCTGTCTTTACATTTTTAAGTTTAATTTTCATTGTATTTATTTCATGTGTGTGCGTGTTTAGGCTACAGTTATCTCAGCGCACCACAGGCATAGTTAACAGAAGGGTGTGAGTCACAATGTGGGTGCTGGGAATCGAACTTGGGTCCTTTGGAAGAGCACTCTCTCTCCAGCCCAATTTTACTTTTTAATCATATGTGTGCACGCACGCGTGTGTGTCACATGTGTACAGATGCACATGAACGCCAATTTTGGGTCTCATGGAGTCAGAGTGGTTTATTACATACAGGTTGTTGTGTGCAGCCTGACACGGGTGCTAGGAACTGAGCTCAGGTCCACAGCATGCTCTTAACCTCTGAGCCATTTCTCCAGACCCATTATTATTATTATTATTATTATTATTATTATTATTATTATTATTATTATTATTTTATTACGAGCGGGGAGCAATGGTGCACGCCTCCCAGCACTCGGGGAGGCAGAGGCACGCGGATCACTGTGAGGTCGAGGCCAGGCTGATTTACAGCTCGGGAGTCCAGGCCAGCCAAGGCTACACAGAGAATCCCTGTCTCAAAAAACCAGGAAGGAAGGAAGGAAGGAAGGAGGGAGGAAGGGAGGGAGGGAGGGAGGGAGGGAGGGAAGGAAGGAAGGAAGGAAGGAAGGAAGGAAGGAAGGAAGGAAGGAAGGAAGACTATTTCTATTACATTTATTGTATGTGTGTGGGCATTCAGCATGGCACACAAGTGCAGATGAAAGGACTATTTGCAGGTGTCTCGTTTTTCGTTTTTTCCACATCACGTAGTAGGTCCCAGAGATCGAACTGAGGCTTGGTGGCAAGAGCCTTTACCCGCTGGCTCTAGCCCTTGCAAGTCTCATTTCCGAGGCCTGAAAGTGCAGGGACAAGCTGCCCAGCGGTTCTTAGTCCCTAATCTTCTCAAACACCTTGCAGGAAAAGCCAGATCCGGAAGCAGTCCGGCAGTCAGTGGTCGCGTCCTCTGTTGCTAGGACACCTCTCCGGAAGTGGGGCGGGCGCGGGTCTGACTGGTTGCAGTAGAGAGACGGGGCGGGGTCCCATGCGTCGTGGGCGTGGGCTCGCGTGGAGCTTGCGCAGGCGCGGGCGGGCGCGACGGTGGAGGATGCGGGCGGTTTAGCTCCTGCTTCCTAGTCAAGGTCTGTGCAACTCAGCGTCCTTCCCTCTCCTGAGACTTGCCTTGTGCCGGCCGATTGGCGTAAATGCATCTTATCCTTCTTACGGGCTGCTCCAGGCTCTCGGGCCCCTCGGCTTTCAGTGCATCCGCAGCCTGTATTGTCTGCGGTGGCATCTGTTGCGGGGTGGGTCTGGTCGCCACACCTATGAGGGGAACTCAGGGCGGCTCCACTCGCTCCTCAGCAAGTCTGCACCGAGCTGAGGTGATGCCATCTTTGTTAGGAGAGGGGTCTGGGAGTTGTGGTCCTGTTTGGAGCGCGCAGGGGAGGTCGTGGTGGTGGGGAGTTGCAGGGACCGCGTCCTCGGCTGGAAGCATAGCGCTGTAAGCCGAGTTGGGAGTTGGTAAAGCAGGCTTTGTTCGGGAGACCTCTAAAGAGCATATTCCAGTGCTGGCATGCGACAGCACTGCTCTTCTCTCAAGAGATAGAGACATTGGTAGACCTCGGCACTGGCAGCCAACAGTGGTGTGGAGACGGATGCAGGGCATGGCTGTGCAGTATTGTTTATTATTTAATTTTTACTCATGTGTATATGTATGTGTGTCCGTGCCGGTGTGTGCACGTGAGTGCAGGTGCCAGTGGAGGCCAGAAAAGGGTGTGTGGGAGTCCCTGGAGCTGGTGTTAGAGGAGGCTGTCATGCCATGTGGCAAGAATGCCAGGAACCAAACTTAGGTTCTCTTCAAGAGCAGTATCTGCTCTGACAGCTGCACCGCTCTCCAGCCCCTGAGCTCTTGTTTTCTTAGAGATAGTTTTTTTTTTCTCTCTCTCTCATTCATTCATTGAAAGCTTTTTGGGAAAAAAAAATATTATACTGGGAATCTTGGTGTCATTGGGACTTCACTGACATTGATTTGTAAAAATGTCAAATTGTGGAAAGCAGAGAGGGCCCTTGTTTTCTGAGACTGGGTGTAGAACGGTGACGAGACTGATAATTTCTGTTGGCTGTTTCTAGGAAGGCAGTCTTGAGTCCTGTCTAGGGCTGTGATCACAGCAGGTGGTGAAGCTCTTTGGCGCCTGTGTCTGTCCTGAGTTTGTAGGCATACTCCAACAGGTAAGTGTTCTGAGCTGGGGATTTTCCCCTAGTCACATTCTGTATGTTCCTAGTCAAGTCTTTATGGGCAGTTGTTGCTGATCTCTCAGCCCTGTAGGGCTGGACTTCCTCTCCTTCACTGATTGGCTGGAGTAGCACTTATTTGGCCCTCTACAGAGGGAATTTACTTTTTGGTTTTATGAGACAGGGCCTCATGTAGCCCAGGTTAGCCTTGAAATCCCTACGTAGCCAAGGATGATCTTAAACTTCTGATCCTCCTGACTCTACCTCCCAAGCACTGGGATAGTGTAAGCCACCATCCCTGACTCTGTTTATTTCTTTTATTATTTATCATTTATTTATTATTCACCTTCATGTGCCTTCCAGGAATGAAGCTCAGGTCGCCAGGCTTGCACCAGTTTAACCTGCTTAACCAATCCTCCCAGCCCACTCGATATGTAGACCAGGCTGGCCTTGAACTTATAGAGATCCACCTGCCTCTGCCTCCGCAAGCGCTGGGATTAAAGGCGAGTGCCACCGCACCTGGCACAATTCATCAGGCACTTGCTAAGTATCGACTGTTGCTGGACACTGTCCTGGGACTGGGGATTCAGCTGGAGGTATGGCATGGTGATAGTCCCGTGCCGATTTGTCTGTGTAGACGAGTAGGTTTCCCATTTGAGCGTGTGTGAGAATCATCTCACAGCCCCCTGGGTCCTCTTTCTGCCTCTCCTTCCCTCCTTGGCCTCCCCCTTCCCTGGGCTGGGGAGGAATCCCGGGGTCTGCTGCATGCCAGGCAAGTACTCTACCATCCAGCCTCACTCCAGCCTCCGAAGGCCATTTTCCTGACCAGACCATGTAGTGCTGGGCTGCTGATCCATGGCCCCTGGACCACACCATGAGTACGAGCCAGACTAAACCAGTGTATGGCGTGCATGCCGTAGAGAAAATAGAGTAACTCCCGTATCCGTGGTTTCACCTTCCAGGACTTCAGTTCAGAAGGTTCCAGAAATAAACAGTTAGTTCTTTTACAATTACTGGGGGTTCTTGCTTACACGTGTCTTTCGTACAGTGTGCCTGTGGAGGACAGAAGAGGGTGTAGATTCTCTGATACGGGGTGACAGACGGTTTTGAGCGGCAGCGTGGGTCCTGGGAACCCCATCTGGGTCTTCTGCAAGACCTGCCAGTGTTCTTAACCACTGAGGCATCTCTCCACCCCCAAGAAATACATGGTTATTGAGTTTCTGAGCAAATGGTTGTCACTGTGGTTACTGTTAAAAAGTATTATACTGTAATGCCGTGTCCTGACTGAAACAGTATTTTTAGCCACTGTCCATAAGCTCCTATTTCAGTAGTCAGCCTCTGTATCCACATTAGTGATCTATCACAGTGCTTTTCCTCATAGTAGCAGGCCCCAGAGTGTTGCTTGGAAAGTGCTTCCTTTAGGTGGAGATATACAAGCTTGTCACAGGTGCCTGGATGGGAAGAAACACACTTCATGTGGGGTTCGGTGCTCACCAGAGTTCCAGGTGTCAACCAGGGGCTTGGAGGGCGTCCTCTGTGGACGGTAGGGGGACCGCTGTAAAGTGACTACGGCACTGTCAGGAAGATTGAAGCTGGGCGGTCAGGAAAAGTTTACTCTCGGGAGCGGGCATTGGAGAAGGGGCCAGATCTGTGGGGAGAACACAGGCTCCAGACATTCAGTTTAGCGGACATGAGATGAAGGAAGGTGGGAGCTGGAGAGAGGGAGGAGTAAGGGGTAATGGGAGACAGGGCCGGGCTGGCCTTGCAGGTCATCAGTAGACTGCTGGTCTTATCATGGGTACCATGGCCCAGATGCTGGAGGGTTGGTGGCTGGTGGCTTCACTCAATATATGTGTCTAAGAACCAGCTGGGTAGCCTGGGATGGCCATCAGGCCTGCTGTGTTCGTCCAGCAGAGCTATGGGGCCTATGTAGAGCCCTTTATGGGCTTGGGGGAGGGGCGTTTTTCTGGGACACAGCTGACACCTGATTTGTCCCCTCCAGGATCACAGCTGAGCTTTGTCACAGTGTTGTTTTGTTTGTTTGTTTATATATATTTTTAATGTATTTTTGTTCTGTCTGCATGTACATCTGTAAACCAGAAGAGGGCATCAAATCCCTTTATAGCTGGTCATGAGTCTCCATGTGGTTGCTGGGAATTGAACTCAGGACCTCTGGAAGAGCAGCCAGTGCTCCTAACTGCTGAGCCATCTCACTGTCACTGTTTTCTTAAGGCGCCTTGCCCTATGTGTGTGTCACCATTTCTGGGAGTGGACCATTGCAGTCAGCTCTCTGCTGGGCCAAGGGACTGTCATTGCCCAGCAGGAGATTAAAAGCTGGGCTGGGGGTGGCCATGGGAAACCTTGTTCCCCCTCTTGCGAAGACTGTCCCCAGTCACCTGGGGCAGGTGGGTGCTGTTTTATCTTCTGTAATCGCCCAGTAGACGTGGCTGGTTGTGGCTGGTCACCTCTGATGGCTTTGTCTTACTTAAGCTCTCATGATGCACAGATTCTATGAACATACGGGCATGTGTATGCACCATGACCTTAGAGGTTCTTTGGTCTTGTTTGTTTGTTTGTTTCGAGATAGGGTTTCACTGTGTAGGCCCCTCTGACACTGTGTAGACCAGGCCAGCCTCAAACTCATAGTGATCCACATGTCTTTGCCTCCCGAGTGCTGGGATTGAAAGCGCCTGGCTGTATTTTGTTTTGAGACAAGGCAGCCTTGGCTGGCCTGGACCTCACATATAGATCAGGCTAACTTTTAGCTTGTGTGGGGTTTTCCTGCCTCTGCCCTCTACCTGTTAGGATGATCTGTGACCCGCCATGGCTGGCTACTCCAAAACCTTTATTGTTTAAGAGCCTGTTCTGTGCATGTTGTTAAACAAGATGCCATCCCCTGGTATCTCTGGCTGGTCAACTTTTGCTCCATAAACGTGTCACTTATCAGCTCCGTGTCGCTTGTGTTTTTGTCAGTGACACTGAGAGAGTCTGGGCACTCCAGGAACGACAGAAGGACCTATGGTAAGTGCTAACACTGCCATGGCGGCCGGAGGACGGGGAATGTGTGTGTATGATGTCTGGAAACAGCACTGGGTGGCGGGCCTGAAGCCCTGGCCTCCCAAGCCCCAGGCTCGCTTCCCGCCCAGCAGGATGAGGACGAGGGTATATGTCACATCTATAGGTGCCAGGCGTTCTGTGAGTGGCCATGCCCATATAAAAGAAAAATAAATAAAAATCTCACAAGTTTTTTTTTTTTTTTCTTTTTAAGAGCATGATTGGAATGAGAAGTAGCTGGGTGGTGACCGCCCCCGCCTTTAATCCCAGCACTTGGGAGGCAGAGGCAGGCGGATCTCTGAGCTAGAGGCTAGCCTGGTCTACAGAGTGAGTTCTAGGGCAGCCAGGGCTACACAGAGAGACCCTATCAAAAAAAAAAAAAAAAAAAAGAGAGAGAAAGCTAAAGGAGAGGCAAGCAGGTAAGCAGTGTAGGACTGAGGTCGATGCCCAGGCCAGCATATGGAAGCTACTCCATCAGAGGTCAGCTCAGGGGTCCACATCTCAGAATAGCCTTTCCCATCTGCTCTGAACAGCGCCCCTCCTGCCCTCGTAGCCCCTTCATACCTCTCCTGTGGAGCCTGACTCCCTGGTGCCACTGGATGTTTGTGGGTGACTGTCTAATTAACCCCTTTTAGCCCTGGTTGACATAGGGGCTGGGGGTTATGGAGGAATGGATGTGGGGTATTGACCATTGTCCCTGTCACACTAGAAGTCCTAAGGATCTCCTTCTTTCTCATGGACGGTGACTGGGATGTCTCTAGATATTACCAGCAGTCCCTTGGGTAGAGGGGGCTGTGTATGTCTACTTTGGGGATCCGCTTGGTTTTAGGGGGGAAGGTGATTGCTGGTGAAGTTTCCGAGTGTAGTGACTTGGGTCTCCTTCAGGATCATGGCCGGAAGGGTGAAGTGGGTGACTGACATCGAGAAGTCGGTACTAATCAACAACTTCGAGAAGAGAGGATGGGTCCAAGTGACAGAAAATGAAGACTGGAATTTCTACTGGTAAGAGTAAAAAGCCGGGTTTTGTGTTTTCCAAATATATAGTCAGTTGATCCCGTTCAGCCATCTCTGCCTTTTGTGTTTCTGTGTAAATCAGCTGAGCCCAGTGCCTGGAACCAGTTAACTAAGGAGCTTCTCGAAGGGCTGGCCGGGCCAGGGACTGGTGGCCGGTCAGCGTCTCAGAGGCCAGGCTGTTGTAAAAAAGCTTGTGCCTGGGAGCTTCCTCCAGACTGTCACCTGCGGCTTCACCCCGCAGGACCAGGGTGCTGGGCTTGGCCTAAACTTTGAGCTGCTTCATTTAGGCCTTGCTCCCACGTGTGTCTGCTGGGTCTTTGTTTTTCTTGCCCAACTGTCTGCATCTGTGCTTTTTCCTCCTTGACTGGTGTGGCGAAACCCAGAGTCCAGTCAGCTCGCCCTCGCTGTCCCTGTCTCTCTTCCTCTCTGTCTCCTGATTGTGGATAGGGATGTGAGCTCTCTCTGCTACTGCTCCTTGCCTGCCTGCCTGCCTGCCTGCCTATTGGAGGGCTCTCCACCATGATGGTCACGGGCTCTAACCCTCTGGGGCCGTGACCCCTCAGTTAAATGCCTTGTTTTATAAGTTGCCCCGGTCATGGTTGAAAGATTCCCCGGCTGGGTATCTTTTGTCTGAGAGACCCCCTCCCAAGGAACAACGAGGCCATTCGGATGCAAACAGCAAGAGGCTTTTATTTTGATACACGGGTACCCGGGTACCCGGGGCAGCAAGGTCATTCGGATAACTTTGCGCGCCCCCTAGGTGGGAAGCTGGGGTTTTTATAGGGTTTTAGAGCAGAAGCGTGGGTACAGAAGCGAGAAGCATGGTTACAGGGGGCTGATTGGTACGTTTACATGAGACCACGGTTTGTGTCAAAGTTTGGCAGGGACACCAAGATTCCAGGAACTGGGTGGTCGAAACAGTCATGATGACCCCCTGACGTGGCCCGCCATCTGTTGTTTTCCTTAGGACCCTTATCTTAACTGGAACAGTCTCACAGATATCCATGAGGGTGATTAATACAAACTGTTTTTAGTTTGACTGGGGCAGCCTGACCGCAGATATCCCAAGTGGATGACACAGCTGGGTTTCTTAGTAATTTTTTAGTTTTTTATTTAGCCTTTAGAGTTTTACAAAACAGTGGTGTCCCACAAAATGGCGTTAGCTATGTTTAACTTAGGGTGAGGCAGGGGTCTTTCAATGGTGTTTTGTTATGGAAACAGAAAAGTTAGATATTCAAGTAAGCGCTTCTCCCACTGAGTTCTGAAGAAGAGGGCTGAACTGAACAGTGACTTGAAGCTGGGCTGTCTGTCCCTGTTGGGTACCCATTGAGGTCGTTCATTAGAACTACAGTGCCAGTGAGGGCACTGAATGCCTTCCTTGTTCAGGTAAGGAATGTTTTAGAGCTCTTTTTATTTTACCTTTTTAGAGGAAGGGGTTAGGGATCTCAGTACTTCAGATTCTGGGTTCATTCATTTCTACCTCAACCTCCAGATAGCTGTGAGCACAAGTGCGTGCTACCACAGGCTTCAGAACTTTTTTTTTTTTTAAAGACAGGGTCTCACTGTATAGCTGCTGGAATTAAAGGCATATGCCATCTTGCCCGGCATACGTGTGTGTATATTCGTGCATATCTGTGTTCAGGTTTCCATGGGTCTGTGTTAGGGTATGTAGAGGCCAGAGATCAGTGTCTGGCGTCTGTCCCTGTCACCCTCCACCTTAGTTTTTGATACAGACTCTCTCTGATTGAAATGGGAGCTCGCTGATTTTGCCAGACTGAATTATTCAGCACTCCAGGGACCTACGTCTGTGCCTTCTTTCTGAGACGGGATTTCTCTGTGTAGCCTTGGCTGTCCTGGACTCACTTTGAAGACCAGGCTGGCCTTGAACTCACAGAGATCCGCCTACCTCTGCCTCCCTGAGTGCTGGGATCACAGGCGTGTGCCACCACACCCGGCTCTCACCTGGCTTTTTATGTGGACGATGGAGGATCTAAACTCAGGTCCTCATAATTTTCACATGAGTGCCCACATAGGCACAAATATACAAATAAAATACACTTAATTTTTTTTTTTTTTTTTTAAGTAAAGCAAATAAAAAGGAGCCCTTAACTGCTAGAGAATGTTAGATGGAAATATTCTGGGCAAAGGGAAACCCTATCTGGAAATTTCTTATAACGACATTTCCTCTGAAGGAAAACCGTGGGGAGTGAGTTGGGGGCCAATCCCTGTGCTGTCAGCCGTGACAGCCGAGCCTTGGGTTTTGACGGCTCCTTGTGGCTAGCCTTTCCTATGACGGGACATTTGAAGAGGCGCTCTGTGCCAGTCGTCATGGGTACTGTGGGCAGCTCTTTCGGCTTGCTGTGTGGGGCGGGGCAGCATTGAGGAGGACGGAGTCCACAGACGAAAGCCTGTGGCAAGCTGCCCTGATTTGCCATTCAGAGGTTCCCTCCTAGGTGCGAGCCAACCCGCCTTCCTTCACACATCGTCCCTGAGGTTGATGGGGACAGTGGCTTCGTTAGAGGATCAGAGAGCAGCCATTTCTAGGCTGGGCAAAGAGCTCAGTGGGACGTGCAGTATCTGGGGTTCAATCCCCAACAGTGTGAAAAATGATAGAATAAGGACGAATCCCAGCCAGGTGGTGGCGGCACACACCTTTAATCCCAATACTCTGGAGGCAGAGGCAGGTGGATATCTGAGTTTGAGGCCAGCCTGGTCTACAAAGCCGGTACCAGACAGCCAGGGCTATGCAGAGAACCCCTATCTCCAAAAACAAACAAACAAACAAAACAAAAGAGTGAATCCATATGACTCTCCTCTTGAGCCCTTAAGAGCCCAACAATAAGATATGTCGACTTGGGGCCTCAGGTTGCCAGATTGATCTTGGTGTTTAGATGCTTGAATTTGGGTACAAATTAATATCTTGACGTTTGCTTCTGAAAGGGTATGTCCCACCTTATCTGTCAGCTGTGTTAAAAATCAGCCTGACTGGGTACTGGAGCAATGGCCCGGTGATTAAGAGCCCTTCCGGAGGACCTGGGTTGATTCCCAGCACCCACATGGTGGCTCACAAGCACCTGAAACTCCAGTTTCAGGGGGTCCTGTGCCTCTTTGGACCTCCAGGCATATATATCCGTGAGCCTGGCGCCAACCTATGGGCACAAATGGGCTTTACTTGGTGTCTGATGCCTGTGTCAAGGCACAGGGACAAAGCCACCCCTCCCTGTCATTCAGCCCAGTCACAGCCCATCATCCCTGAGGTCACATACCATTCGGCCACAGAGTACACCAGTCACCAAGGCTCTCTGGAGACTGGCGGGGCTGTGGACAGGTGCACACAGACCCGGCTCCGAACGCACACACACTCACACCCGTCCCTTCCACGTCTCTGTTTCAGGATGAGTGTGCAGACCATTCGCAATGTGTTCAGCGTGGAGACTGGGTACCGGCTCTCGGATGACCAGATTGTCAACCACTTCCCCAACCACTATGAACTGACCCGCAAGGACCTGATGGTGAAGAACATTAAAAGATACAGGAAGGAACTGGAGAAGGAGGGAAGCCCCCTGGCAGAGAAGGACGAGAACGGGAAATACATCTATCTGGGTTGGTGCCTTCCCCGCCTGTACCCGGGTCCTAAGTCACCTCAGTGTCCCAGTGAGCGTTTCTGTTTCTGTGACAGAAATCATGACCGAGAGCATCATAGGGAGGACAGGGTATGTTTCAGCTTACCATTCTTGGGTGACACTCCATCCCTGAGGGAAGTCAGGACACGATGTCAAGGCCGGAGCTGAAGCAGAGGCTGTGGAAGAGCACCACTTCCTGGCTCGCTTGCTATCACTGTTTGCTCAGCCTGCCTTCCTCTTTCTGTCTGTCTGTCTGTCTGTCTCTCTCTGTCTTTCTTTTTGGTTTTTTGAGACAGGGTTTCTCTGTGTAGCCCTGGCTGTCTTGGAACTTGCTCTGTAGACCAGGATGGCCTCAAACGCACAAAGGTCCTCCTGCCTCTGCCCCCCCAAGTGCTAGGATTAAAGGCATGCACCACCACCACCTGGCTTTTAGCCTGCTTTCTTCTATGGTCCAGGAATGACATTCATGCGGGCTGGGTTCTCCCACATCAATCCTCAGTCGAGAAAATGCTCTACAGACTTCCACACAGGCCAGCCTGATGGAGGCATTTTCTTGAGATTTCCTCTTCCCAGACATGTCTAGGTCTGTGTCAAGCTGGCAAAAATCATGCATGACCCTAGGTTAATCATTTCAGGAACTCGAGGCACTGAGGTGGCTAGGTTTGCCAGATGAATTGGTTGGAGCAGGTTCTGTGGGCATCTGTTTAACCTCTGGTGTCTCCAGGTGGGTGGGCAGGGCTGAGCTGGGTTTGAACTCTGAGTATCTGGGACTGTGGAGTTGCTGAGAGACAAAACTAGTGTGGACACCAGTGTGGTTAGTGTCACCTCTTGAGCCACACTCAAGGAATGGTGTATGTCACTAGTTTACCTAGGGATTAAAGCCGGGCTGCTTGACAGTTTAGGATCCCATGCCAGGACAGAATGTAAAACACTTGAGATTTCATTTATTATTATTATCATTTTAATAACAATATTTTATTACTATAATATGTGCATATATAATATATATTTACATATATGGGTGTTTTATCTGCATACTACCTGTGTGCAGTACCCATGGCGACCAGAAGAGGGCATTGGATCACCTGGAACTGGAGTCACAGATGGTTGTGAGCCACCAGGTGGGTCCTGCGAATAGAACCCCTGTCCTTGTCAAGAACAGCCAGGTGTTCTTGATTACTGAGCCATCTCTCCAGGCCCTGGGCAGAATTATATCATCAGCTTCTCTGGCCTCAGTTTCCCCATCTGCTGAATGGGAACGACAGCTGCCACCTAGCAGACAGCTCACTTGGGGTTTCAGTGATGTCTGCCTGTAAAGTTCTGCTCACACAGCTCAACAGGGTCCCTTCTTAATATACACAGGAACGGGACAAGTGGCAGTCTTGCCACTTAGGGTTGTGGTGACAGCGTCCTGAGGAGCCCAGAACCATGGTGACGTTTTCCTACCCCTGGCCCCGGGTGGGCAGCCACTTACGGCAATGGGTCTCTTTACTTCAGACTTCGTCCCGGTCACCTACATGCTCCCCGCTGACTACAACCTGTTTGTGGAGGAGTTCCGGAAGAGCCCGTCTAGCACCTGGATCATGAAACCATGCGGCAAAGCCCAGGGGAAGGGCATCTTCCTCATCAACAAGCTCTCACAGATCAAGAAGTGGTCCCGAGACAGCAAGACGTCCTCGTGAGTGGAGACACCCCAGACTGCATGCAGGGTTCCGGTTAGCTACATCCTGCCGTCCCGTAGCCTTGGTCACGGGCTAGGCAGCCCTTGTCTGCCTTTCCATCTGTGTGCTTGCCATGTGGTACCCTAGCAGGGCTCTTGTGGCTGAAGACATGTAATTAACCAGAGAACTCCCCATGGTAAGCCTCGGGGGGACGTGACACAGGTCCTGGGCAGTGGCTTTGCAGGCCATTTGGTTCCAAGCTGGTTAAGGCAGGCACAGGTGTGGCAAGGGGGCACATGCTTCAGAGCTGAGGACCCCCGATCCTGCGTCTAATGGAGCTGGGGACACTAATGGCAGATCACCAGGCTAAAGGCTGAGGGAGAGTAGGAATGTCCTGCTGGGACACCTGAGCTGGCAGCAAGTTGGTTGGAGGTGGGGTCTAGTTCACCCCTGTGAACCTTCTGCTGTTGAAGGGTCCTTAGCTGCTTGGCAGTTCCTGGAGCAAGGACTTAGTGTGGTCAGAGTGACAGAGGACCCTTCCTGCGCAGAATGTTTCAATCTGCATACACTTTGCCCCAGGATCCTCCTTGGGCGGGTTCCTAGGGGCTGTCCTGCCACTCTTGCCATGGCTTCTAGCTGAGATATCCTCCATGGTCCCTTTGTCACCTCTAGTCCCACCTTGAGAGAGGCAGGGAGCTTGTGCCCAATTACATTCTTGTTTATTTAAGATTGATTTTATGTAGATGAGTGCTCTATCTGCATGTACACCTGCACACCAGCAGAGGGCATCAGATCTCATTATAGATGGTTGTGAACTACCATGTGGTTGCTGGGAATTGAACTCAGAACCTCTGGAAGAGCAGCCAGTGCTCTTAACCTCTGAGCCATCTCTCCAGCCCACCAATTACATTCTTCTGTTTCTATTTCTTAATTACATTTATTATCTCTGTGTGTGCACACACACTCGCACATACGCATACACTTACACGGCTTATCATCTGTGTCAGGGCTCGCTCTTGCTTTGGTCATTCTGTGACTCTAGACAGTGTGTGGTGATGTTTCCACCCCTCAGGGTCATACAGAGCAGATTCATGGAGGCTCAGTGTCCTCCGTTCGCCTCCCACTCCTCCCAGCCCATGCTCTGGCGATGGCTGGTCTCTTTACCACCTGTCTAGTTTTCCCTTATTCAGAATGTCATCTGGCTAGAATCACACAGTGTGGGGCCTTTTTAGGTAGGCTTCTGCCACTTAGCTCTGTGTGTGTGGTGTTTTGGGTTTTTTGTTGTTGTTTGTTTGTTTATTCTTGGTTTTTCAAGACAGGGTTTCTCAGTGTAGCCCTGGCTGTCCTGGAACTTGCTCTGTAGACCAGGCTGGCCTCAAACTCCGAGATCTACCTTCCTCTGCCTCCCTAAGTGCTGGGATTGAAGGCGTTCAACAAGCTGTGTTTTTAAGGGTCTCTACCTAAGTACTTGGCATACATGGCATCATCTGGCTTGTTCACAAATTTTTCTCTGTTACTGAATAAATAGTTCTGTTGTCTGACAGTTTTCCCATTCACCTACCGACAGCCACCTCAATTGCTGGCGTGTCCTGGCAGCCGTGCCTGGTGCTGCTTCAGGCGTTGCTCTGCAGGGTTTCATGTGGGATGATACTCAGCTCCTTTGGGTGGGTGCCACAGAGTGTATCACCACACCAAGCTGTGTGCAGATTTCTAGCTTCAGTGATGTCCCTGTCTGATTTCTGTCGCCGGGGCACACTGACAGAACGAAGCTGGAGGGAGGAAGGGTTGATTTTTAGCTCTCACATTCCATCACAGGAAAGTCAGCAGGGCGGGGACTTGAAACATCTGTTTACATCCACAGCCTCGAGTGGAGAGAGATTAGTACATACATGCTGTCTTGCTTATGTGCGCTCAATAGCTTATTTTTTTATTCACAGTTCAGGATCCCTGGTCTAGGGAATGGTGCCGCTCACAGTAGGCTGTCTTTCCACATAATTAATTAAGATTGCCCCCCACACACACAGGGGGCTGGAGAGATGACTCCATGGTTAAGAGCACTTGCTCTTCTCGCAGAGGACCTGGGCTCCATCCCCAGAACAACTGTGTAATAAGTTCCAGGGCATCTCCTACCTCTTCTGACCCCTATGGGGACCGAGTGCGCGGCGCACAGAAAAAAAAAAAAAAACGTTCCCCACAGACACGCACGCAGGCCAACCTCATAAAGAGAGGGCCTCATTAAGACTCATCCCAGATGATTGTAGGTTATGCGAATTTGGCAATTAAAGCTAAAGAGGTGGCTCCACTGTTAAGAACACTGGCTGCTGTTCCAGAGGACCCAGGTTTGCTTCCCAGACACGTTGTTGTAGGCTGTTAATAATATTTACTATTTTTTTAACTTCTGGTAATGCTGCTGTTAATCCTCAGCGGCTATAAAACCAAATCACCACACAGAGACTGGGTTTTTAGTTAACCTAGAACACAATGCTGGGCAATATTTACTCCCTCCTAAACCTCCAAGCCCTCAGTTTCCTAACATTTAGATTTCCCACATTTTACTTGCTTTTTGTGAAATCTTAGGTCTGGTTCATGCTTTAAGTCCTCCAAGCTCTCTCCTCCCGCTCTGCTCTCCTAGTGCTCTCTCCTGGAGCTCCTCCTCCTTCTCGCCCCTTCCTGTTCTCTAGCTCCTCCCCTCTTTCCTGTCCTCTGGCTCCGCCCATTGCACAACATTGTATCTAGTTGCTTTATTTGTGTCCTGTTTACACAAGAGTATCACAATGCAATATCCAGATTGAAACCAGAGAGTTGGGGGTGGGGAAATCAGCATTTGAATTAACAAGGGTAAGGCATATACATTTTAAAAGAACATTATACCAACAACTCGTGGTAGCTCACAACTGTCTGCAACTCCAGTTCCTGCATGCAGTGCCCAGACACACATACAGACAAAACACCCATACACATTAAATAAGTTAACTGATTAAAAAAAAAAAAAAGGAAGCCAGCCATCTCCAGGGCCAGCCAGTCGAGGCTCCTTTCGTTTGCAAGTTGTGCCTTTAATCTCCCATCTTTTACAATGCCTGTAGGTTTGTGTCCCAGTCCACAAAAGAAGCCTACGTGATCTCACTCTACATCAACAACCCGCTGCTCATTGGCGGGAGGAAGTTTGACCTGCGTCTGTATGTCCTGGTATCCACGTACCGACCCCTCCGCTGCTACATGTAAGAGGCTCACCTCACAGCGTTATCAATCACTCGGTGACGTGGGGTACGCGGGAGGCACCAGGCCTGGCTCGGGGTTGGCTATCAGGCGGGTGGCTCTTGTTCAAGAGCAGTTGGCCTAGAAGCCACCTTAAGCCCCGCCCGTTTGGACATCGGAAATAAGTGGGAATGTGGTGTGTATTACCCAGCACTCGGGAGGTAGAGATGGAAAAGTCATGAGTTGTGAGGACAGCCTGGGCTACACAGTGAAACCCAAAGCGACGGAAGCTCACAGCCAGTCTTCTGTCGAATGGGCGGTGTGTTCTCTCTCTCCTCTCCCTCAACCCGGTGTGGGTTCCCCCCCAGGTACAAGCTTGGGTTCTGCCGCTTCTGCACAGTGAAGTACACGCCGAGCACCAGCGAGCTGGACAACATGTTCGTCCACCTTACCAACGTAGCCATCCAGAAGCACGGGGTGAGTGTCTCCCCCTCACGCTCCAGGGGCTAGCCTGGCTTTGTGGGATACTCACAAGACGGGACCAGGCTAGTTCTGGGAGAGCGGTTCATCACCCAGTCTCTGAAGGGTCCTAGAGTAGCAGGCGTGGTTATCCCCGGGCTCATTACCTGAATGTTTGCATAGGGGTGTAGGTAGAGGGGTGGGGGTGCTTAGAGAAACAGGGGTGTCGGTTCAAGCCCCACCTTTTTGCTGCTGTGATCGTGGGAGTGTCGGCTTGATTTCTCCATTAGTAAAAGAAGGGGCCTTTAACCTGAGATGTTCAATGTCCTCATAAGCCTGTTTCTCCCTGTTAGTTTTGCTGAAATTGGCCTTAAGGGCCTGGTGTGCACTGGTGTCTGTTGGGTAAGCCCTCTACCACTGACCCAGCCTCCTAGCCTCTTCTTGCTTTTATTTTGAGATGATATCTCACTAAGTTACTCAGGCTGGCCCTGAACTCACGCTGTAGCCCAGCCAGGCCTTGAACTTGTGATTCCCAGTGCCTGGATATCTGAGTAGCTAGATTATAGACTGGCACCAACAGGCCCAGTTTAAACCTGTCTATTATTATTACTACTATTATTTTTAATGTGTATGTATGAGCATAAGCCATGTGTGTATAGCTGCCCACAGAGGCCAGAATTGGGTACCAGATTCACTGGGACTCATGTCACAGGTGATGGTGAGCCACCCAACATGGGTGTTGGGACCCAAAACTTGGGTCCTCCAGAGAGCAGCAAGTACTCTTAACTGCTGAGCCATTTTTCCAGCCCCAAACATGTCTTAAGTTGAAAATACTGTAGGTGGAAATTGTATTCGGTTCGTCTAACCCATTGAACATCACAGTGTGTGGTGTGTGTGTGTGTGTGTGTTGCCTCATGAAGCGCTTTTGAGTGGCAAAGCACTTCCTTTTCTGAAACTGCATCTTGAACCTTGTGTGAAATAATCCCACCGCCCCTCGCTAGAACTAGAAAGAGAACAGACGTTACTCTGAACACTGCAAAGCTGTGCCTTCTCCTGGCGAGAGGAGTTGGTGTGGCCAAGGACTGGCTGTCCCAGAAGCCCAAGAACCTCTGTGCTGCATGCTGGGTGGGAGGACTATCAGGCAATGCCTGTGAGAAACAGGCTTTAGCAGGCAGAGAAGCGAGAGGCAGCTGAGCCTGAGGCCTGCGACACTTGCAGACTGCTGGGATGAGATATTCTGAGGCGCCTGAAAACCAAGAGACATGCTTGCTTTTCACGTCTACATCTGGGCAAGATGATGTCTTGCTGGAAATACTATATCCCTCAATTGTTTTTAAAATTATACATTACAGATGTAGACATTTTAATGTTTTTATTGTTTTTTTGTTTTTGAGATAAAGTCTTTCATTGGAATTTGCTCTGTAGACCAGGCTGGCCTGGAAATCATAGAGATCTGCCTGCCTCTGCCTCCAGAGTGCTGGGATTAAAGGAGTTACTACCATGCCTGGCCCTGTTTATTTCACTTTTTGAGACTGAATCTTGCTAAGCAGCCCAGGCTGTCCTCCTGCCTCAGCCCCCCGGCACACACATTTATCCTAGTTAGGGTTACCATTGCTGTGATGAAACACTGTGACAAAAGCATTCACCTAGAGCAGCTTCTGGGGAGGTGGCCACTGAGTATAAACAGTCACTTATGACACCAGTAGGGGTTGAACCTCTAGCAGTGTGTGGAGTAGACGGCACAGACCACCCTGGACAGGGTTTCCCCTCTGCCTTGCTGCTGCGTACCTGTTCGGACCCAGGAGGCGCTTGAGGGCAAGTGGCTCCTCCAGACTGTACCCTGAAGGCCTCTTGCCCTCCCCCTAACCCCACCCCCCAGGAAGACTACAACCACATCCATGGCGGCAAGTGGACTGTCAACAACCTGCGGCTCTACCTGGAGAGCACCCGAGGCCGAGAGGTGACCACCAAGCTGTTTGACGAAATCCACTGGATCATCGTACAGTCTCTCAAGGCCGTGGCGGTGAGTGACAGGCAGGGGGCGGGGCAGGTGGGCCCTCGAAGCCTAGTGGGAGGCCCTGGGCTAGCCAAACGGTGCTTCTGTTCTATCATCCCTCTCTCTCTCTCTCTCTCTCTCTTTCATACACACACACACACACACACATGTGTGTGTCCCGGCTGCAGTTTCCCGTCCCTCCACTCCTCCCAGCCTCCCCACCCCCAGCCCATCCACTGCCTCTCTGTTTCTCTTCAGAAAAAGAGCAGGCCTCCCAGGGAGAGCAAGCAAACATGGCCTAACAAGATGCCGTGAGACTAAGCACAAACCTTCCTATCAGGGCTGGATGAGGCAACCCAGAAGGAGGAAAAGGGTCCCAAGAGCATGCGAAAGAGTCAGAGACACCTGGCTCCCACTGTTAGGAGTCCCAGGCCAAGCTAACGGCCATAGCACATATGCAAAGGACCTGGTGCAGCCCCGTGCAGGCTCCATGATTGCTGCTACAGGCTTTGGGAGCTCCATGAGCCCTGCTTAGTTAATTCTGTGGGGACATCATCTTTTTTCATTCCTTTCTTCCTTTTTTTGAGACGTGGTCTCATTGTGTCATCATAGCTGGCCTGGGGGCATCTTCTATTAGACCAGGCTGGCGTAGAGAGTGTTGTGTGGACCAGGCTAGCCTGGAGTCCGCTCTGTAGACCAGGGTGGTCTGGAGCTCACAGAGACCCCCCTGCCTCTGTGTTTCCCCCATCAGCCCTTCTTGGTGGGTACTTTGGCATGAGATGATAGTCTGGGGGGCGGGATTCGCAGCAGCTTTCTCTTCAGGCAGCTTAATGTTACTGTTTCATGGGTATTTATGGTTGAAACTAGCCTCCTTCTTTGTTCTTAAATTCATCTTGGATTTGCTCGGTGGTTTGCAGCTTTTAGGCAGGTGCGCTTCTGTTTTTGAGCGATAGGAAGGAATGAGCATTGGTGTGCTGCCCCCTCTTTCCAGGACTCTACAGATGATGTGTCTGGGCTGTCTTTGCTCCCCCATACAACTCGAAAGATCACGGGGACTCTGACCCCATAGCTAAGGAAAAGGCTCCTGACCCAAAGCCGGTCTCCTTGTCTCCCATCCCCTCTGTCAGCGGGAACGGGAAGGCAACCAGCCTGCTCTGAGGTCACCCACAGGACCCCAGAGTTCCTCAGCTCAGCCTCTGAGGGCAGTGTAGGCTAGCCTGCTGGCCTACACTAGTAGGCCACAACTACAGCTAGTGAGCTGGCCCCTGACAGACCCACCCACTTGTGCGGGACCTGAGGACACAGGACCTGGGGACATGGGATGGTGACACATCACCATGGAGTTTGTGAGAAACAGACGCAAGCTTCCCAGGTCACATCGGCCTTCCTCCCTGAGAAGAGCTGTCACACAGTTGCCTCACAGATGGGCCTCTGTCCTGGCCCTCGGCTCCTCAGGGCAGCCTGCTGCCATCGGGTACCATTCTTGGACCCTATCACTGGGTGGTGGTCCCCAAGCCTTTTAAGTAGGCAGGTTGTTTTGTTTGTGTTAATTGAGCGTAGGTGTTTGTCTCTGCCTGTGGGTATGTGCAGGTGTCCACAGAGGCCGGAAGCCCTGGATCCCCGAAGCTGGAGATACAGATGGTTGGGAGCTGGCTGACGTGGGTTTTGGGAGCTGAACTAGGGTCCCTTGGAAGGGCAGGAAGTGCTCTTAACAGCTGAGCCATCTCTCCAACACCCCTCACTTGCCCAGCACACAAGGAAAGCGTGTTTGGGTGAATTGGAAATTATGAGGGAAATCCAGAAATGAAAGAAAATAGGCCTGCTTTTCTCACTGGGTTATGATCTGGTTTGCACCTGGTTTCACAGGGCTGGGAAGGATAGGAGGCAGCCTGCTGGTGTGTGTGTGTATGTGTGTGTGTGTGTGTGTGTGTGTGTGTGTGTGTGAGACGGGGTCAGCAGCGTGGGAGGGTCTCTCTGAGGATGCGGTCTCTAACCTGCTGGTCACTCCGCAGCCAGTGATGAATAACGACAAGCACTGCTTTGAATGCTACGGCTACGACATCATCATCGACGACAAGCTGAAGCCCTGGCTGATCGAGGTAACTCAGCGGCCCCCGCCGCCTTGGCCATGGAAGACAGGAATGAGGTTCAGTTCCCAACGACCACATGGTGGCCCCCAACCATCCACAGTGGAATCTGATGTCCTCTTCTGTCCCACAGGCACACATGCCAATAGAGCATTCAAAGGCATAAATTAATAAATTTTTAAAAAATTAAAAGCACTCAGCCTTGGGGGGAACGGTTTTGCCTGGCTTACAGGGCCCAGCCCGTTACCACACAGGGAAGCCAAGGCAGGGACTGCAGCAGGGGCCATGAAGCATCAGTGCTGGCTGGCTTGCTGAGCTACCTTTCTTCCACAGCCCAGGCCCACCCCGGGGCCGTGCTCTCCTCCACGAAGAAACTGCTTCACGGGGCCAACAAGATGGCTCAGTGGGTACTAGGGCACTCGCTGCCCACCAAGCCTGACAGCCTGAGTTTGATTTCCAGGACCCACGCAGTGGGAGCAGAGCCACAAAAAGGGCCTCCTAAGTCATGCCCACAGGCTAACCTGGTCTGAGCGCTTCGCCACCCGACAGATCTAGGGTTCTGTCAGACTGACAGCGAACTGTGACAGCTTCCCGTGTGAGGTGCTCGGCAGGTGTGCGAGGCCCGTGTTAACCGACAACCGGCCCCTTGAGCACATGGCCCACCCTGGCTCCTGCACCTCGAAGCCCACAGGGGCGAACGTCACAGCGCAGGCCCCGTGTTCTTCTTCTTGCAGGTTAATGCGTCCCCGTCCCTGACCTCCAGCACCGCCAATGATCGAATCCTCAAGTACAACCTGATCAACGACACCCTCAACATTGCGGTCCCCAACGGCGAGATCCCGGACTGCAAATGGAACAAGTCCCCCCCCAAGGAAGTGCTTGGCAACTACGAAATCCTGTAAGTCTGCCTGTGGCTCCTTGGAGGTCCTGTGTTCTAGACTGAGCTGTGATGAGGCGCCCTTCGGATATTTGGGGGAGGTGGAGGGGGTGGTGTCGTGGCTTGCTCTTCTTGGGCAGCGTGTCTGTTGGTTGATGCTGGGAGGGACAGCTGTTGAGGAGACAGAAAAGTGGTTTGGGTCTGTTCGGTGTAGTCGATACTTACGAAGCATCACGTGCCAGGTGCTAGGCGGGGTCTGAGCCCTGTGCTTGTCGTCAGTGCGGTCCGCTGAGGTGCCAGGAGCAGTGTGCACAGAGTGCACAGGTACCCTAGCTCCAACTGGGTAGACAGTGGTTGACCAGAGTGTCGTCTGCTAATGCCGTGGGAGGCTAAGATGGCTCTTAAAAAGTTTGGCATAAGAGGCAGCCTCGTCACTCCCCCCTCGGTCCGTGACACGGACACAGCACAGGTCAGAGCGGGATAGCACATGAATGACTCCTGGAGCCTGGCAGGGCCAGAGTTGCTCCCTAGCAGGAGCTCTGAGGCCTGGAGGGGGATCTCTGCGCAGCCTCCTTCCACTAGAGGGACTGGCTACGCGCTCACGTGAGGTTAATGCTGAGGTGTGTCCAGACGGTGATGCATCGTGAAAGTCCCACGCCAGTGCAGAGCACAGCCTCGGCCGAGAGCAAAACTGCCGGCATGTTAGCTCTGGCACTCCCTGGGCACCATTCAGAGAGCCGTCATCCATCAGAGGAGGGCCTAGTGCAGACCCCACACCACCCGCAGAGTCTGGCTCTGGACCAGAAGCTCTGAAAGAGAAGAAAAGCCTGCTTCTGCAGAGAGCAGAGCACCATGGGACCCGCTTAGCGCAAACCTCTGCATATAACTCAGGGTCCTCGGGCAAAACAGCAGCAAACCAAACAGCAAACCAAACAGTCCCAGTCCCCGCTGTCCTGGGACTCGCTCTGTGGACCAGGCTGTCCTCGGGCTCAGAGATCCGCCTGCCTCTGCCACCTGAGCACTGGGATTAAAGCTGTGCACCATCATGCCTGGCTAGAAAACACTTTAAAATGAACAGAAAGAAGCCAGACATAATGGCGAATGCCTTTAATCCCAGCACTTGAGCGGCAGAATTGGCGGAACTCTGTGAATTTGAGGCCAGCCTGGTCTACACAGCAAGTTTCAAGACAGCCAGGGCTACCAGAAGGGCTGGCAAGATGGCTCAGCAGGTAAAGGCACTCCCTGCCAAGTTTGAAAACTGAAATTTGATCCCTGGAACCTACATGGTAGCTGGCCTGACTTCCATAAACTGCCTCTGACCTGGATCTATACCCTGGCCCATACCTGCCCTCAATCAATCAATCAATCAATCAATCAATCAATCAATGTAATAAAATAAATTTAAGGGCCATCAAGATGGCTCAGCATGTAAAGGTGACTGCCACGTAAGTTCTGTCCTCAGGAGACCCACATGGCAGGAGAGACCTGCAACTTGCTGCTCTTTGACCTCCATATAATAGATAAACTCCTCCCCAACAAATAAATAAGCTTCAGTTCAAAAAAGTTTAAATGCCCAAAAGTGCTCTTTTCACAGCTCAGCTGCAGGGTAAAGCTTTGGATTAGGCAACCAGGAGGCCCAGCATTAACCTCTGCACATCCGAATCTGGAGCCCGAGGGTGGTAGGAAGCCATGGTGAGGAGACACAGTCTCCCTTGAGGAGTCTCTCCTGGGTCTCAGCATTCTCAGGAACCACAGGGAAGGCGCCCGGCTGATGGGCGACGGGTCTACATCGGGTTCTTCAGATGTGAGGTCCAGGCTGTTCCTCGGCACGCAGGGCTGAGATACAGTCACCAGTAGGAAGTCAGGCTATAGGAGGACAGTAGCAGAGCAGTGGCATCATGATGGAGGAGTCTTAGCCTGACCCGGCCCTTTCTGGCAGTCGGCTGGTATCAGGTTCCCTGTGTGAAATGGAATTAGGTCCTCCCCGAAATGGTGTGTGACGTGCTTGCAGGCAGGAGTCCGGCCCACCGTGGCCGGCATCCTCATGCTCTCCTCTGGAGGCCTGCTGAAATGGCATCAGTCTAGGATGGGCAGACTGTCCACAGTGGCAGTGTCACTGGATTTTTCGCACAGGCTCTGTGGCCCTTTGCAGTGTTCGGGGGACCCCCTTGCGGGCTTGTGGGCTGGAGAGGAAAGGGGGTGCCGAGAATCAGGAGCTAGGTAGCTCTTTCCAGGGACCTGTTTGTTCCGAAGTAGCCCAGTGGCCCCTCTGTCATGGCCGCCCCTGAGCAAGACCTCCTTGTGATGTGTTTCAGGTATGATGAGGAGCTGGCCCAGGGTGAGGGGGTCGACCGAGACCTCAGAAACCGCCCAGGCCAGCCAGTGGGGGCCAGAGGAGGCCGCTCGAGGGACTCCGGGAGGAATGTCCTTGCAACCTGGAAGTGATCGGCCGTGAGAAGGACCTCAGCTCGGACCGTTCCCACAGCCGCTCCATCCAGACCCTGCTCATCACCCTTTTTGGAACTTCCTTTTTCTAGAGTGCTTTCCTGAGTCCTGTAAACAAAGAAACTCTGCAAGGTAGAGGAGTCCAGGTCATCGGGGCTCACATACACGCATAAAAATGACAGCTTCAGTGTGAGATATGACTTCCTTTTTTTAAAAAGATTTGTTTTAGTATTTTTATTTTTTGAGATAGGCAGCCCTGGCTGGTCTGGAACTCGCTATGTAGACCAGGCTGGCCTGGAACTCTCAGAGATCTACCTGCCTCTGACTCCCAAGTGGAGGGATTAAAGGCGTACACTACCACATCTGACTTTATTGTTTATTTGTGTGTGCATGCGTGTGTGTAGAGCACTCAAGGAAACCAGTAGAGGGCATCAGATAGCTCTCTAAAGTGGATTTGGGGAACCAAACTACGATCCTATGCAAGAGCAACATGTGCTTTGTAAATGTGAGCCATCTCTCTGGCCCCCTCATAATAATGCTGCTTCCTCTTTTCTTCTTCTTTTTCTTTTTCTTTTTCTTCTTTTTCTTCTTCTTCTTCTTCTTCTTCTTCTTCTTCTTCTTCTTCTTCTTCTTCTTCTTCTTCTTCTTCTTTTCCTCTTCTTCCTCCCCTTCCTTTTTCTTTCCCCCTCTTATTCTTTCCCTTCTTCCCTTCTTTTTCTTCTTCCTCCTCTCTCTTCCTCTTCTTCCTCCTCTCTCTTCCTCTTCTTCCCCTTCCTCTTCCTCTTCTTTTCTTGTCCCCCTCCACTTCTCCCTCCCCTCCTCTTCCTTCTCTGCCTCCTCTTCTTCTTCCTCTTCACAGGGTTTCTCGGTTTATTCTTGGCCCTCCTGGAACTCTGTAGACCAGGCTAGCCTCAAACTCAGAGACTGCCTGCCTCTGCCTGAGTGGGCTGGAATTAAAGGCGGGCACCATGATGGAGCTTCTTAAAAGTTGTTCACATTCATTAAACTTTGCACTTAAAAAAAGGCTAAACAAACATCACATGTTTCATGGAGCCGTGCTACCGTGAAAAAAAAATTTAATCTAACAGCCATTCTGTTTCATTTCCCTCTTGCTTAATCACAGAGCAGACAGGCATTTATCTTTACAAGGCCCCTGCTGCTATGCTGAGGGACCAGTTTCTGTCACTTTGGTTTGGAGACAAGGTTGGCACAGTGAAGCAGGTGGGCACAGACAGATCCCGAGGGGAGGTTGCTATGACTCAGGCATCTGGCTTTATTGTCACCGCTGGCAGCCAGCCAGCAACAGTTTACAAGGACTCCTCCCAGACGTCAGTGACGCAGGAGTATGGGGGACCAGCTCTGACATACATAAGCCCTGCTTGCAAGTGGGGTCCTTTTTGGTCTTTTGAGACAGGGTTTCTCTGGCTGTCCTAGACCTTGCTCTGTAGACCAGGCTGACCTCTGCCTCCCAAGAGCTGGGATTAAGGGTGTCTGCGACCACCACCTGGCACAAGTGGGGTTCTTAATGACAGCCTCTCTCTGACAGTCACATCCGACACCTGTCACCTGCTAGTCACTACCTGGAATTTGTCTTGAAAGACCCCTGCGTCCAGCTGTGCTGATCAAGAGTAGATGTCATGTCATGTGTGCCCGTGTCTCTACACACCTGTCCGTGTTTTTAACGTGTCATTGCTAATAAAGGAAAGGTCCCCTGCAGTGTGCTTGGTGCCATGCAAGATGAGAGGAGCAGTCATACAGCACCTCCAGCCAGCATGTGAAAAGGGACCAGCGATTCTTCTCTGTGACTTCCTGGTCAGGCAGGACCCTGGGCGCCATGTGTCACCTAGGTGCAGTGCTATGTGTTGGTGACTAGACTCGGGCCCGGGCTTTAAGGTCTGGCTCTGTGTTCATTAGTTGTGATCTGTGTGGTCCCCTCGGCTCTTGGATCTTTGGTTTCTTACAATAGAAAATAAGAGATCGTGGTGGCACCTGACAGGACAAATGGCTAACTGTACTTCCTGTTAGCATAGCAAAAGCACATACTGGCCTCCAGGCTCACTCAGTACCTGTGGCTCCTCAGCTCTCCTCACCCTGGTGCCTACCCTAAACCCCTCCAGCGTGTCTCTCTCTCTCTCTCTCTCTGTGGCTTGCTCTCTTGCTCGCTCTCTCTTGGCCCTCTCCCCTCTTCCTCTCTCACCACCTCCCATCCCCCCTTGGCCAGGTTCAGTCTGCTACTTTCTCTCCCCACTCTGTACTCTTCTTCCGGCTATCCTCTTTCTCATATCTGCCAGAAGAAGCGTTGCCGTGCGGTGGTGGTGGAGCCCTTGAGGAACCATGAGCTGGGAGACAGTCCTGCTTATTGTCCAGCCCAGGGCTCAGGCACTCATCCTCCTTGGGACTCCGGGATGACAGTGCTGTTACTCTCCCTCGTGATGAGTGGGTCCCGTGTGTCTACTTATTTTCATGACTTACGATACGCGTGAACTGTCCCAGGGTTAACCTACTGTCTGTCCACAGGGACTGCTGTGGTACCTGTGCTGTGGCCCCCAGACCCTCAGCCCCCTCACTCTGCCTCCCTTGTCTGGTGCCCAAGTCTCTGCTAGAGTAACCATCTGTCTTGGGACTACCTTTGTCCAGCAGGCTTTTTCTCCAATGTGGGTCTGCCGCCGTCCTGTGCTTGGGCCAGTCCTAGGCCATCTGGTCCAGGTTCCTGCCCGACTGGCTCCCTCCACAATGTCATCGCCCTCAGGCTCACACACCTCTTCTCTCCCTGGGTTTTGGGCCATCCTTCTCCGATAAACCAGTACACTTCCTCTGCGTGACACTTTCACATCTGTGTCAGGCCATGTCGGGGTCCGGTGGGGGTGGGGCCTAGGCTGGGTCTGCTGTGGAGCTGGAGTGCCGTGCCACAGGGCCCTGGCCTGACACCTAGCTATTCACTGTGTTACTCAATGTGAGCTGTGTCATCCAGGTGCCCTGTGACCTTTCAGGACCTGCTGTGAGGTAACAGCTCCCTGGGGTTTCCCTTTTCTCGCTTAGGAAGCTTTTCCTGTGGGAAAATACTTTTTTTCTTGTATCGTTCTTCCTAGCTTCAACTGTATCTGCAAAGCTTTGAAGTTAGAAACAGCATTCTTCAGGAACACATTCTGTTTTGTGGAATAAAGTGTTATCTAACCCTAGATATAAAATAAAACCAATTTAAGATCTTACAAGAAAAGCCAGGCGCAGTGGCAACACTTGTAGTCTCAGCCCTCTGGGAGGCAGAGACAGATGGATCTCTGTGAGTTCGAGGCCAGCCTAATCTACAAGGAGAAACCCTGTCTCAAAAACCAAACCAAACCAACCAACAAAACAAAACAACAAAAAACCTTCATGTCAAAACAAGAACAGGAGACAATGGACATGCCTGTTCTGGTTTGTCTACATGTTCTCAGGCTTAATTCCCCCTGACCCTGTCTTGTAGCTCTGAAGTCAGCTGCGGTTCACTGTTGACCTTCTCTCATAGGCCCACCTTCTACTGCCAACGCTGACAGCTCATGCTTGGTGTCACCGCTCTGGAACCCTGTCACTCTCAGCAGCTGGTCCATTGGTGCCTCTTGTCTTGGGTTTCTGGGATCTCAATGATCTCCCCTCCCCTCCCCATCCTTTCTCTCCTCTCTTCCTCCTTCTCCTCTTTTTCCTTCTCCTCCTCCTCTTCTCTCTCTCATACACACACACCTCCAAATTCCATCTAGGAACTAAGTGTTCTTGATTTGTATCACACCAATGCTGTCCCTTCTGTCACTGTCTCCTCATTGGTCTATCTTCGTGTCTCACTTCTCCCATTCCCTCCAGCCTCACCCTTCCCCTTCTGAATAGCACACCTGAGGCAGGGCAGGCCCCTCCTTCTGTAACACCTGGTGGCACTCTTGCAGTTTGTAGGCAGAGGTGGAGGGCACTGGGCCCTCCAGGGCGACAGAGGGCATGGGCAGGAGTGGCAGGCCCTTTCCCCCTTGAGGGTACCCCTCCTGCTGTGGGTATTGGCTTGGCAGGCTAAAAGGAAGCTGTTAACAGGTCAGTCTTGCCCAGAACCTCCAGGCCATTTCCATGCTGGTGGGTCATGTTGCCTAGCCCACTAGGCACCTTCCTCCAGCTGTGCTTCATGGCACCTCAATGCCCTCCCCTAAATTCCATCCAGGAACCAGGTTTCCTTGATTTTTTTCCACCCTAATGCTCTCCTGTCTGTCACCCTGTCCTGTCCTGTTCAACCTTTTTTTCTAGATCTCAGGCCCTAGGCCCTAGCAGCCTGAAACAGCCACAAACAATGTCAGGTGGTGGCTTTAGGGGAAGACCAAAAGATCCTATTTGGGGCACCATGGGCTGCTCTAGGTAAGGTGGGCATGGGTGGGAGGCTCCTGGCCTCTGACATTGTTCCCAAGAAGAAAGCACTGAGAGCCAGGAGTCAGTCATGTTGAATAAGGCTGCCCTGGGACTTTGGTTACCACCTGAGGAACACTCTCCAACCATCCTGTGTTTTTTGTTGTTGTCGTTTGTTTTAATTTAAAGCTGTATTTTTATAGATGTTCTGCATACATGTATGTGTACCAGGCTCATGCATTTTCTGCACAAGCCAGAAGAAAGCATTGGATCCTTGGGGCCAGAATTATAGCCAGTTGAGAGCCGTCATACGGGTACTGGAAACTGGACCTGGGTTCTCTGGAAGAGCGCTCAGCACTCCTAACTGCTGAGCCATGTCTCCAGCCCCTAATCCAATTATTCTAAAGTAGGGAACAGTATGATCACTATCCAAGTCATGGATTGCCCATTTCATCCCAACTATGCTGACAGGGACCACAGCTGGCTTACCAATCAGGCCTCAGCCTCTTTCCTGGGCTCCTGCCCAGTGGATAAGGTTGTTAACAGTCCATCAGAACCTCCTGCCACCCACAGCACCACTCAAGAGCAGAACCCCAACTTTACACTTTCTTGGAGCTACTCTAAGCCTGCAGTAGGTCCCTCCTTCTGAGACACCCTAGTTTCAGTCTTCAAATTCTCACTGCTCTCTGCCATGAGGCCACTGCCCAGTGAGCTTTTAGAAGAGGAGAAAACAAGAACCTTTAATGGTCCATCCTGGGAATGAGGCGTTTGGACACAGTTGGGTTTTAGGAGAGGTTGACGGAGAGGTTCCCTGGGTTGACGGAAGCCTTGCCTGATCTTAGCTTGCAGGTAGACAGATTTCTCCAGCCTGCATGTCAGGGGCTGGGAGGGGTGCATGAAAGGTGGGGGGTGGTTTCTCAAGGCAGCCAGTCCTGGGCACTGTGCCACCCTCCATAGTGAGGTAAGGACCCACAGACCCCAGTGTGACTGGACAGGGCTGTGGT